TACAGGAAAATAGCTTTGAAGGCGGTGAATGTGCCCTGCTTCTATGCTACTAAAGTGTGATGAATCGTATCAAAGAGTAGTTGTTTGCAAAGCCTGGGACAAGATCAAAATGCCATTTTCCTCTGAAACTGCTGCATGTGTTCTGTAAGGAAATCTCAGGGAAATCTCAGTAGGAAAAATACTGGTCCAGAAATAGACTTCACACTGAATTTCCACTGAAACTGAAATCAAGAAGGAAAGGGTCTCCAGGGAAGGGATATAATCAGGAGGTTAGAGTGAGGGTTAGTACCAATTCTTCTATCACACATTCATAAATGTTCGCCAGTAGTAGAATTAACAAGGAAGTTACTCTAGCAGATGTTTTCAAATTAGCTTAAAACCATGTCACAGAATAAGGCAGCAGAGCTGGAAGTGTGCCCAGAGAGACCTTCCCACAAGCCGCCTGAGGGAGCCCTTTAAGTATGTCTGAACCCTCCTTGTGCAGAGATTCAGATGCAAAGCTAGGGTGATAAGCCAGTCATAACACAACCCTCCTCTTCTAATTGCTTATCCATGGCTTCAACAAGACTTCTATTCTGCTGAATGCTAAGGAAACCTGGTAAGATTGGGCAGTTCCAAATTACACACTTTATGGCTTGCCTTTGTGTGGTTGCTTACAAATCTGACAAGAAAACACTGAGAGAAGATAGAGAAATTGTTAGTGACAACAGATGAGCAAGCTATAAGTGAATCTGAAAATGAACGGTTTCATTTCTGGCAAATTCTAGAGAGAGGAGGGTAAGTTTGCATTTTCATAGTATATTCAGAACATTGATACCTAGTTTGCAACTAAAAATAAAATGGGCAATCATACCCTAGCTATGCTGGTTCTCATCTTAACTAGACATCAAATGGGACTTCCTATGAGGGAACTGGTTTTCCTAAATGGGATGTCACTTGTTTCCCAAGAATCAGTAACTTCTACAGGAAAGAGAAAATTAAACACCAACATGAAAAAAAACTCTCAAGTCAATAAAAGATGGAAATGTCCCCTGTTTCAGACTCATTTGATAGGTTATCAGTCTCCATCATTTACAGGAATAAAGGATGTAAAATTATTGGGTCAACACATGTATACAATACCAACTTGTGTGCAGTCAGAATAAGGAGAAGAAGGGCAATCATCCATCTTTTTGAACCTTCTATCAACATTCCCTTTTTGTTTGTTTTTAACCACATGTCTTGCTCTGTGGGGTGTATGCTTCAGGGTTACACAAAAGGACGCAGAAAATACATACTGTAAAGTCAAACAGATGTGTGTTTGAAAAAAAAGGAGCTGGTGCCTGATATCTCATACAATCAATCATCTGTGAGTGTTTAATAAACTAGATTGAATAACAGAAGATGATTTTGAAATCTTCATGGTAGGAGAATGTTTTAGACCTTTTTAGGAACTTCTTTGGCAATTCCTGATAGACCACACATGTAGACAAAAGTCACCTTCAACAGAGAGTAACAAGAATCAGGCTACAAATACTCCATGATTTAAAAAAAAAAAAAAAGACTGTCTTTTGGGGACCACTATGTTATTCTTTTCTTGGAAAAAGGAGAACTGTGAACACTTAGGATCTTCTGGAAATAAAAGACACAGTGCAAGACAGGGGGTGCTTTTGAGCCTCTAAGGGTCTTAGCAGAAAGATTTTCGACAACGCTAGCAAAGCGGCTTCTTGTGATAGTGTCTCATAATAAAAATGTACAAAAAGACTAACATACCATAGACATAGACATAGGCTTAGATTTTAAAGTATGGGAGGTGGGACTCAGGTTTTTCAAGAGTCCTTTTAGCCTTACTGTTTTAATGGTATTCTATCGGCAGGGGAAAAAAAAATCACCAAAGGAAAAGAAGAAATCAACCAAGAAACTTAACAATTACATCGTTTCCTTAAATTAAAGAAAGAGAGGTAAGTGTGGTTTCTATAGAGATGAAATCTTAGTAAAAGGTCTTCCAATTAAATGCTTCCTAGGAGGAAACCAAGTCCCTGTCCTCTGATAAAGGGCGGAACAGTTGATGGAAATGATCACAAAGGTAACATAATATGGATTTGAGTTGATCATAGAAACTTCACTATAGAAATACACATTTGGTAGCATTTTACAATTCCTTCTGCATTTGAAATAATATGCAAAATCAAAACACTAAACTGTTTCCAAAAGAGTTGCTATTTAAAAATAAGTACTTGTGTCAATTAAGTTCTAGCTCAAATTACTATTGTTCTACCTATGTTTTACAAAAATAAGTAGTTTGTAAAACAAGTTCCCCTCTTCCCAGTTTTGTTTTTATATTTCAAAAATCAATCTACATAAGCACATGGAATACAGGCATACATATCTAGTAGAAGTTCAAAATGCATGCAGCTTCTATTCCCAAATTTGATATCATACAACTTAGAAGGATTTAAAAAGTAGCATATCACAGTTTTGGACTATTTCTTTATGTGGGCTACTCAATATTTTGGAAGGTCTTGTTTTCATTTCCTTTGAATAATTACTAATATGATTTATTGAGTTTTTCATTCTGTCAGAATAAAATTTATCTTGAAGGAGAAATTAAATGAGCTAAACAAAAAAATTAATGCTCACAGGGAAAATTCATGTACATACCATTCCCCAAAAGCTCAAGTGCTGAAATGTAATTTGAAGAACTTTATCGGAAAACCAGTTTGTAATTTTAAAAGTATCTGTTAACAAGTTCATTTCACCAATATTATATATTGCCTGTAATTTTTAAGATATTTTTGACAAACTAATCTTACAGTAAAAAAATACAGAAATGGAAAGAGAGATGTGAACTTTTCAAAACAGACTACATTTGTAAGTATATTAAAGTTTTGTTTTGTTTCATACAAGTCAAACCAAAATTTTATCGTAAGCATGTCAGTTTTCTGTAAAAGCAGCTACAGAATTTCCAATCTGGAACTAGGAATATTTCAAGGTAGTGACTTCACTCTGGCAACTTTAAACTCAACTACTAAATCCAAAGAAAATTAAGAACAAAGCTATCAGTCTGACTATAGGAGAAGAGGAAAAGGATCAGGAAAAGAAGGGCAGGGAGGGTAAGAAAGAGTAATGGGGTACATGATCAAAGTGTGGCATATATGCATGCAAGAATATTCCACAATGAAACTCATTAGGGATTTCTGTCAAATTTGTTTCAAGTCAAAACATGAATTTTTTGAGCCAATGATAGCTTTTTTTAAAATTTTATACATGTTACAAAGATATATTCAATTTTTCTTTATATATTGAATCTTCTTTTTAAAAACTTAGGCAAATAATACTATTTTTGATATAATGTAAATTAGGGTACTTGTAACATTTCTTGCCTCCATGTCATTTTCATTCAAGCTGGAATAAAAAGTAAATGCTATGTATGTAAAATGATTTAGGCCAATGAAAAGTTGCTTCCTAAAACTGAAATTGCATTATAAACAACTGTCAAAAGACTGTTCTTGTTGGAACAGCTCCTTCCTGATAAAAATGATAATAATGATAATTTGCAAGATGTTTGTCTGCTGTCCTAAAATCGCTTTCCTACTTCTAAGCACTACATGTTAGATGTTAGATTGATCCATCGCCACTTTCTACGAAGTCATTCATGAAGACCATAAAAGCTAAAGATCTCTTTGTTACTTTTGTGACATCTTTCCTCATTGTAATTCCATAACTTCACGTGCTATGCCGGTAGGCGGGGAGCATCCACCTCCCTCACCCAGGAGCCCTCATCTAACTCTCTCTTCTCTCTCACACCCAGCTAGGAATTAAGTCTTGCCTGGATCCATAAAAGACATAATATCTCATCCACCAGCGCCCCTGTCCTTGTCGCCTAGCCACCTCCAACCCCTTCCCCTCCTCGTGCCCTCCCCTTCTCGGACACAAAATTCCGCAGCGCAACTGGCCGCGCGGAGGGCGAGCCCGGCCGCGGGAGGCGCGAGCAGCGCTACGGCACAGGCGCTCAGTGTCCCTGGCGCCCGCACCCGAGCCGCCTGCCGCCCCTTCCCAGGGCCTCCGGGGCCACACCGGGAAGCGGAAACCGCTTGAATGCAGGGTCTTCATAGCCACTCGGCCCCAAAGGTCCCTCCCGCAGCTGCACCCGCCCCTCAATGAAAGTGCAATCTGTTACCTCCCCCAGCCCTGGGGAAAGGTCGCTATTTGGTCTCAGCTCCAGCCCCATTCAATTCAATTAACTGAATACCCGGTCTCAACGCCCGCCACGCGATTTGCAGGCAACTGGTCTGGGCAGCGGGTAGGGGGCGACTCTCCAGTGACCTCCTCCTTGGATCCGTTCTCTGTGTGCGTATCTCTATGTGTATCTCTATATCTCTCAGTGCCTCTCAGTCTTTGTGTCTCTGTTTCGTTTCTCTCTCTCTCTCTCTCTCTCTCTCTCTCTCTCTCTCTCTCTCTCTCTCTCACGAGGGAGGGGTCTCTCTCTACAGTTAAAGCCAAAATGTCACCCGAGAAGCAAGTGCAACAACTTGCTTTGCAAAGGACCCAGGAACCTGTCGAAAAAACGCCTGCAGTGTGCCGCCAGCCCACTCCTCCCCTGCAAGGTGCTTCAGGGGGTGGGGTGGGGGTTGAGAATTTGGTCATTCCGAAGATGACGGAGATTGAGGACTGGGTTCTTCTCCCCTCCCCCTTCCGGGACCCTGTCGCAATTAGAAATCTGTCCCTTCTTGGGGTTCCTGGGGGGAGCTGCGAGGACAGCACTCCTGGAGAAGGGCACGCCAGCCCCAGGGATCCCGGAGTCCCCAAGGAGCACTGGAGTGCGCCCCGGACAAGGGAAGGAGAAGCGGATGCGCGGAGAGTAGTTAAATGAGCCCAGCCCGCAGTCCTTCCGCGGGCGAGGGTAGCGGCGACCTCGCGGGGGGCGACGGGCAGGAGCCACCCAGCGCACCGCCACGCCACCGCCACCGCCACCGTCGCCGCCGCGCACACCCGAGTCCCGCGGCGCAGCCTGGCGTTACCTTGCCGCTGCCCGCAGTCGGGCCCTTGCCTGCTGAGTCCGTCCGTCGGGCCCAGGAGCCTCAGAGCAGGACGCGAGGGGTGGCCCCTCTGCTGGGACTGGCTCTCAGAGAAGGGATGGGAAGGACCCGAGAAAGCAGCTGAGGCAGCTGCATCCGAACGCGCCGCTGATACTGCCGATTCCCGCGGGCGGAAGGTGTCTGCGAGGCCGTGTCCCCTGGATTGCGGCGCCCGGAGCGCAGCGCTCGCCTCTGGCGCGGAGGCTGAGCGCCGGGACGCGGCGGGCTGGGGCGGCGAGGCTGGGCTGGTCACCCGCCCCTGGGTGCATGTTAATACGGTGGGGAGGAGGAGTCCCGCGCTTCCTCCGCCCAACCACCGGAGCCGGCGGGCGGGCGGCGGCCGCGGCCCGGAGCCAGCCGCTCCCACCCGCCCCAGCTACTACGGCGCTGCCACTAGCTCTGGCCCCAGCCCAGGCACGTGCGCCCAGGCCACGGGGAGGCGCCGGCGTCTCCCGGACCGCGATCTCGGCTGGGTAGCTCAGCCTTCAGGCGGGACGAATTCCCGCACCACACAGAAAGGAAAGCCTTACAAGCCCGGGATGGAACCGAGAGGCGGCCACCCTCTAGTGGGCGTGACCTATTGAAATGATTGTTCCCTTGCGCAGCATCTTTGGAGAATTAAACCTTGGGCTCCGGTCTTGCCAGCCTTGTTCCTAGCTTTGTCATTTTAAAGAGGGGAAGTGGGGCTTATTACACTTATTATCACAGGAGGTCAAGTTGGTGGGCACAAGATAGGCAAATTGCTCTTCTCTATCCTCGGGGTCCATAGTATAAATTTTTGAAGGAAGTAATCGCCATAGAGAAGCCTAGGTAGTAGAAAGCCTCAGACACACGTCACTGGGAACTGACTTCAAACCCAGGACCATCACTTTCAAACACTTATTCGCTGGAGCCTCGATTTCCTCATCCCTACAACCAGGGCTCTTGGGAGTTTGTATGGATTAGATTACACAACATGAATTCCAGCAGTTCGTCTTGGTTTAGCATAAAGCATATATATGCTTTTCTAATACATGTTATATTTTAATATATATTAATATATAGATAGAATTTTTACAACTAGCCTCAGACCTCAGTTCACTCTTCACTGTCTGTCCCAAGGTCATTGGAAGTGAACCCCCCACACACACCAGGCTCAGCTCAGCACCAAGCCCCTTCGTGCTCTAAAAACAGAAAGAACCCACCTTTCCTCAAAATAAGAAAAGGAATAATAGTGTGAAGAGGTGAATTGAGAAGCGGATCAAGGAGAAGTCAATACGTTAAATATGTATTGAGTTTTGGTTCTACTCACTTAAGTATTACATGAAGTAAGTATTCATTAGCATTAACATTGTATGTTCAAATAGTTGAAATAATTGTGTTTAATCACCATCTTCCTTGTTTCCCTCCACCCAAAAATGAAATGCCATCTTCCTGGAGCATGCCCTTTGTTCTACAGCTCCCAGAGAGAACATTCTGCCAAAAAAGTATATAATCTTCTTTATGTAATTGTACCCATAAATTTATAGCATAAGATTTAGCATCTGTTTTGTGTGCTAATTATAAATATTAATAGAATATCATTTTTAAAGAAAACACTGCTAAAAATGCATGGAAGTGAAAAACAGTTTCCATAAAAATATGACTCAGATAAATAATTTCTTTTCCATAATTTCACTGAGTGATTTTCCATTAAAAAGGAAAAGAATCATTAAACCACTAACTGGAGGTAAATTCTCAGCATTGTAGTACCATGATCACCAATGCTTTAAATGTTCTGAAAGACATCTCCAGCCAATTCAATAATTACTATGTGGGAACACAGACTTCAAATCAGGCTCCAAGAAGCAAAATACTGACAGAGCCAATAATTTTCATAATTTGAAGAAATTATGCCTGTCCATATTTATAAATACGTTGAATCCACAGAATTTTTAATGATATGGCACAATTCAGAAGGTCACTGTAATCGTCAAGACCTGACTCAGATTAGATGACTTTAGTGAATAAAATAACCTGAAGTGGAAAAATCGATTTTCTTACAAAATTGTTATGGTAGATTTAATTGAGTTACAATAATATCTATATAATGCTACTATTTTTAGGATTTTCTGACTGTAAGTGACAGAAACTAAATTTGGCTAAATTAAGTTAAAGTATTTTATTGAAAATATATAGAAAGCTTCCAGAATTAAATATGGGGTTGGAAAGCAGAAATATTTGAGAGAATACTGGCAATCCAGGAAACAGGAAGACAGAAACAATTTGGTTTGCTACTACTTACACACTCAACATGAGTAAACGCCAGTTGTTTTTCCTAATCAACCATTGCTGGTTAGATTTAAAATGACAGGGTTGGGCATTTGAATGGCCAAGATGCCCACAGGTACTAACTGCCTGGCTACACCAGAATGGGAAGAGGAAACATTTCATTCCTTAGTTTCCAAGATAGAAGTCAGGCACCTGATACACATATGATTGGAGATAGGTAATTCCTCAAAAGGGAAGATCAGCTATTAAGAGGCAGGATTTGATAATGAGGGTTTTTTATGATTTTTTAATGATAAAATCTGTTACATTGACTGTCTATGAACTTTATGATTCTTAAGAGTTATATGGCAAACAATGATTTTGCCTAAGGAAAACTAGTAACACTTCTTTTTTTGTAGTTGTTGTGGTTCACATGCTTGTTTTTAGTTAAGGCATTTTAAAATGTTATTTAAATATCTATCACATAACTGGTTACCTTATTTATATAAGCAGAGTTTCTATACACTCTAATATAAGCCAGGGCTGATCTGCTGTACTCATTTTCACAATGGCAATATGGTAGCTGAATAATGAAAACATACCCAAGTTCTAATACTTGGAACCAGGATTGTTACCTTACATGGCAAAAGGACTTTGTTGATGTGATTAAATGGAAATCGTTGAGACCCTAATGGATCCTCATAAGGACAAGAGTCCTAATAAGAGGAGAGCAAGAAGGTTAAAGTCAGGACAAAAACATTGGATGATGGAAGTAGAGGTTGAAATGTTGTATTTTGAAGATTGAGGGTGGCTATGAGGAATACAGGTGGTTTCTGGAGAGTAGGAAAGTAATGATTATACCCTAGAGCCTCCACATGGAGGACCGGTCTGCATACATCTTGGTTTTAGTCCACTGAAGAAGAAGAGCTGTACAATAATAAATTTGTATTGCTTTGAGCCACCAAGTTTCTAGTGATTACTAGCAGGAGGCATAGGAAACTCATATAGACAGCTTATAGACCCTTGGGACCACCCTCTTTCCTCAAAACACACAATTGATAGCAGGTAGCAGGTAGCCATGAAAGTCCTCACTATAGAAGACCTCAGAAAACGTGTATGTACTTTTTGGAGAAGTTAAATTAAAGCTGGTCTAATCAGCAAACAAGATGGTAAGAAGAGAAATTTGGAAACCATTGACAGACAGGGTTCCTATCCAGGAGCTTCCAATTTCCTGGTTAAATCAAAATTGTGACATTCCACCTCCTAGACCACCCTATGGTCAAGCAGGTTAAATCTCATTAAAATTAAGCATATTTGTGACAGAAGAGCTGTAGGGGCAATCTGAATATAGTAAATATGAAAGAAGTACATGTTTATTCTGCATTAATAGAACATTTTCATCCATTCTCCTGTTTTTAAGTAACATTGAAATGGTGATGATTTCCAGATCTGTATCTTCAGCCTTGACTTCTGTGCTAGAATTAAGAATTGTGAATCCAAAGACCTGGTAGAAAAACCCATCTGAAAATCCCACAGATACCCCAAACTTAACAGGTCCAAATTGAACTCATCAGCTTCTACCCTTCACCTCCATTCAAATTTATTCTACTTCCTGTTACATGGAGGATTCACAGAAATGTCATCCACTAAGTCACCAATATCAGAAACCTATGTTATCTTTGAATTCTGCACTCACCTCCAGCCTATCGTCAAACACTGTTGACTTATTTCACCATTTGAATAGGTCCTGAACACTTCTTCTATTTCCATTTTTATTATGTAGTCCTATAGTCATGCATTATCTCCCCTCCATCATGAATAGTATACCCCTAATTTATTTTCTTTTTCCCAGTTTCACTTTCTTCATCTCAGCAACAGTGATCAAAACATACAACTCTGTTATTCTAATGCATTAGAATCTTTAATAATAATCAGTACATACATATAAAGTTTGAGTCCCTATGATGACATATGAGCCTCTGCACATACTTGCTTTAACCTCCCTCTTCAGCCCTTCCTCCCATGATTTGTACATTATGCTCAATAAGTCAAACTTTTGTTTATAATACCATTCATGTAACATGCTTTGCATGTTATCTGTAACTGACAGACTTGTCTGTTGTGAATGTATTTTCTTTCCCTTTCTCAATATCCTCCCCACCCCATGACACTTTCTTCCTCCTCTGCCTTTTCTCACTCATTTATTTATCCTTCAAGGGTGGCTTTAATAAACCTTGTGCCTAGATCACTAGGTTGAAATAAGTATTGCCAATGTTTATTGCACCTACCGCTATCTTAGCTCTTACCACAATGTTTTTAAAATTTCAGGTTATATCCAGAATATGTTTTGAGACTATATATATCCCTATTTGGATTTCCAATTCCTAGCATAGATATTTCCTCTCAATAGATAATCTTTAAATATCTGCTGAACTCAATTGACCTGAGAATATTTTACAATGTCAGTATATATCAATACCATTTAATAGAATCTTATGCATGATTTAATACAAACTGTAGTCAAATTTTGAAACCCAACCCTCATCAAGTTTAATAAACAGGAGCTTTCTTTTTCATGCAAAAACAAATAACAACAACAACCCTTGAGGAGAATATATCCAGTTTGCTTCTTTTTTTCTTTACAATAGCTAATCTTGTAAAAAGCAATGAACTTATTAGTCTCAAATGCTTTTCAGTGAACTTTTGTTTTATGTTTTAACATTTTTTTATTAAAGATGTTAATGCTGCAACACAATGATTAACTTCTGTCCTACCCTGTCTTTTGTTCCTTGACATTCTTCTATTTATAGGTTAATCAAATTCACTCTCTCCTCTTCCTTTCATCATCCTCCCACCCTGTTTACTCTTCAGCCTGTTATAATAATATGGCTTGAGTCCTGCACGTTGCAATCTGGCTTTGTTCTGATAAAAGTAGCCTAATTTTCCCAACAAAAAGTCCCTT